AAAGAGTGCTGCTGTATTTTAGAAGCACCGTTTTGTTTGAAGTGAAAGCACTGTGACAGAAGCTTCACACAATTGATGTCCTCTGTCAAAAACTAGGGCAGATTACTTGCTGATGACACAGGAGACATAGCAGGAAAAACTGTGATCTTGTGTGTAAGGTAGAGTGAAGAACGGATCTAGATTTTTGAACAGGAGGGTACAGGAGAGAGTTTCCTGGTTCAGGGGATGTGACCTGTGATGAAAACCAGAGCTCTTAGTGGTAGCACTGTGCATGTGCATGTACAGTTGAGGCAGGGTGCAAATGCACCCATGCAACCCCCTTGGATCTGTCCGGGAGTTGGACAATATAATGGTACTATACTTTTTGTTGTTCTGTTTTGATCTACTCATTGAAATACAACTTTAAGACATGCTTACATACATTAAATGTTATGAATATTATTATAGCTATAGAAAAATCTTATCCTCTTGAGGGCAAACCTTTGGCTTACCTTATGTGGTAGAAAGGGGTGAAGTATATTCTAACTGATGCCTACACTGGTCCTTCACCAGACTCAGGGAATGTAGGAGTACAGACTACCAGCAAGGTGAGCATGTCTACACATGCATTAATGTGCCTTTTCTAATGCACATTAAATTTAGTACCTCCAGTGTGAGGGTGCCCACACACGAGCCTGGAGGCTGCTCCAATGCACTGGAATTGTGTCTTCTGGATCATGGCAATTATTGTGCTCCAGTAGCCTCCTGTGTCTTGTGTATCAGCATCCCCAGGCTTAAAAATGGTGGTGTACTTCAAGTGTCTCTGCCACCATTTTTTTGCACAGGAATGCTGATACACTGGACATGGCAGCATTTTAATTAGAGCAGCTCTTGGAGTCGCTGTAATTAAAGTGCCACCCTGCCCATCCCTTGATCACATGTAAAAGTGCCCCTAAGTACTAAATTAATGTGCATTATGCTGCCCTAATATGCAGTAGTGCATTTGTGTGGTTTTTAAGTGGCACCTAATGCACAGTAGACTATTTTACTATTAGACTATTTTACTGTGCATTAATGTAATGTCACAGTTTTTTTACACAGTAAAGCACACGTGTAGATGCTCCCAATTAGACCAAAATCAGAGGAAAAAGCAGCTTCTGAGAAGGAAGTCTGAAGTGGAATATTCAGTAAATGTTTTTTCTTTTCGAGAGGGTGAGCTCATCCATGGCCTGTTAACTTCAGGTAATAAAGTAAAAGTTTGTTAACTGTGTCTGAATTGGAACTGCCTTCAAAAAACACCAACTTTATTTATAATTTTTGGTGATTATAATGGTTACCTGAGTTGAGGAAATAGGAAGACTGTATCATGCCACAGGGTTTGACCCCCCTTTTTATTCATTTTACATGTTATAACTTGAGACTTTGTTTGGTCAAAGACTAAACATGAAGGTGGGAGGAGGTAGGAATCCTTGAGTTATCCTGATAGACCTGACACTAGCATCACTATTGACACTAATAAGAAGCTGGGCATTGGAGATTCATGTTCTTAGTTGTTTGTTTCTCATGGTCCTTATAGGGCCCATGGGCCTTCTGTGTTTGTTCACTGGGACATTTCAAGGCTTAGCTGTGGCTGATGGAGGCAAGTGTCTGCTATCTGTGATGCAATTCAAATGCTGTTAAGTTTTAAATATTGCTGATCTGTTTCTTCAATAAGTGTTGTTTTCATGGATGTGCAGCAGACTAGTGTAGGCAAGATGCATCAGTTTCCTATCCAACAGTGCCCAAGAGTGATACAGCTACCTTGGACTGAATACAGCTACTGATACAGCTACTTCCTGGACTGAATGACTGTTGACCCATTCACAGCTGGGTCAACTGGAGGCAGCCTTTGACATTAGTCCAGAGCAGAGATTGAAGTCATGCCTTGGTCATGGTAGCCAAGAAGTGCTTTACCTCCTTGGGGTTATGCAACTAACTGGTATTAGAAGCACTTATACCTATGTTTGATTTTTACATTATTATTATGACAGCAATATGTGAAGGGAATTTGATTTCAGCTTTAGAGGAGAACAGGTGGATTATTTTTTTGTGCCTCATCTGTAAAAATAATAATAATTCCTAACAGTATTTTATATCCCTATAATGTACTGTTTTGCAATGGTTTGAATATTTGTAGAGTCAGTCTTGATTCAGGTTTCAATACTAAATTTGTATACTTTGCACTAGTTTGTTCTTGAATGAATGTGAAAAAGGTATGTGGCTTATATGCTGAAAGGTGGAAGCCTGGGCTGCAGGAGTGGAGCAGAAATGGTAGCAAAAATGGAATGCTTTACTTCACTTTCACTTATTTTAACATATCTCTTCTTAGCTAACTGTGCACCACCATGCCAAAATGGAGGGATGTGTCTACGACCTCAGCTCTGTGTGTGCAAACCAGGGACAAAAGGTAACTCCTGTGAGAAAACTGTCATGCAAGATACTTCATCTGTTGGAGGTCGGGGTCCTATGGGTCCCCCGTGGCCCATACCTCAGCAATCTACTCAACAGACTTTTTCTAAGAAGGTTGTGCTTCCGCAAAAAGTTGGTCCAATGGCTCAAATGGCCTTCACACTCAAGCAGAAGCCACCTGTTGGATTACCTCAGCAAATGAAACCACAGTAAGTTTTCTCTTTGATTCTTAAATATGTTAGATTTTAATGATATCATTAGATAAGATTTTAAAGATATCATTCTTTATAAGTTTTCCAAAAAAGTTGAGCAAAGTAGTAAAGATATCTTACTCGGAGATCTTTTAAATACGCGTTGTACAAAATCAACCCTTTTTATAACATCCCCTCTAACTGTACCATCATTGTGGTTATTGTAATCCGTGGACCAAATGCACTCAGTTTAGCAGGATAGCTTTGTTCTCCTCTTAGACTGATTTTTTTTTTTTAATTCCTCTTAGGCTGATTTTTTTTATACTAATGTAACTTTATTTCAGGGGCATTCACGTGTCAGAGGAATATAAGGCCCTGTGGACCAATCTGCTTAAGTTTAACTGAGAGCAGAATCCAGCACAGCTCTTTTTCCTAAGGTCCAAGTCTGTTCCAATAGGTACTTCAACCTGTTTGTAGTGTGGGGGCAGAATCCACGCTGTCAGCCACAGGTAGCAGAAGAAAGTGCCATCTTCATAACTTCCCTTTAGGGGTGGCCACGGTGAACAATGGTCCAGCCCAGGGTGCATAGCACCACCACTGCACAGCCCCCCCCCCCCCCCCCCCCCCCGCCTTCCCCCCCCCCCCCCCCAACCTTTTGCCGTAGGAGTCCAAATCAGGTTAAGGGAATCAAATAGTAATATGTATTTAAAAAACAAGCAAACAGAACAGAAGAGGAGAGGCTCTTCCAGGCAAGAATGTATCAAGTATTTTGAAAGTATACCTCAGAGATCCCTGGCTGCCTCCAGAGAAGGAGGATATATATAAGCTGGAGCTTATATATTCCTTTCATGATCCCCAGAAAGCTGTAATAGAAGTGGAGGGATTTTTTGCCACACCTAAAAGATTGGGGATGCATGGCACTGTCATCCCCAGCTTCTGCTGTAGGTCTTCCAATACTAACTTCTAGACTGTCATTTCTAGCTGCTGCTGTGGGTCACCATGGCCTAATGTCCAAAGTGTTTTAGCAGCTTTTGTTGCAGGTTGCTGTACATTGTCACTGCCTCCCCACTGCCCATAGATCTCTATGGAATGGGAACAACAGTATCTCAGGTGTGGACAGGAAGGGACCCACCATTTGTTTTTTCTACCATGGGCTTCATTTTAACCTGAAACTAACTATGGCTGTTTCCTCTGGTGGCCAAGAATTGGTGTTTCTAATGTCTTGGGAAAGCTTTTTACCTGAAAGAGTGGCCTTCTTGCACATTCAAAAGTAACCATTGTTCATTAAAAACTTTGAAGTGGCATCAGGTCAACAGAAACCAACAAACACGTGTCATCTGCTATTTGAAATCCTAAGTACCTCTACATGACTGAAGTTCATCACTGAACATTCTCCAACAATTCTTATATTATGTGCATGGGTGCCCATTTTATTTCCCCAACTACGGACCTTACCATTTGCTCTTGCATGTGATCTTAGGGTCCCTCTTGCTGGCATGATACTGGCTCCAGGGAAGAATGGATTGCTTACCTTTTTCCAGAAGAAGCTGGAGCAAGCACACAGGGTGATTTGATTTCTGGAGTATCTTGTATTCAAAATAAATAATGCATTCAGAGACACTTAGCATTACATTCTGTTTTTGTAAGGCACTTTGCACTGCAGCTGGGTAACTAGGTCAGCAACACTCAACTTCCTAAGCAGGGCCAGCTGAGCCTCAGCCTACTGACTGGATCTAGGGTTGCTTTTAAGGAGCTCTTGCTGCACCTGGTCCCTTCTCTACAGCAAACTGGTTTAGTCTGCGAGTAGCTCTTGCCCACGTGCCTTTCCTGGTGTCTGCTTCATTATCTCTGCCCATGCACCCAGTCCCTGAACCTCAGGACTGTGATTTGACCTCACCTCATTTTTCTAACATTGGCTTCTGGTAACCCCTCTATTTTGGCATGTGAATCCTGGTTTGATCTCATCTTGCCTGGTTTGAACTCAACTTTGATTATGGATGCTGGCCCCAGGTCTAATCAGTAGGCCTAACACACCTGTAAACCCTGACAACTTGGCTGATGAAACATTTAAGGCATTTTCCTTCACGTTATGGATGTGTACTTCTGCATCTTTGGCGTGGAGCCTAGAATACCCCTGGTAGTGCTCAGGACATGGGTGCAATGCTTATAAATAATTTAACTTGTGTGTATGTATTTAAAGGTGATACTTTCTCTGACATAAACTTAGCAACACCTAAATGTGTATATAGTTGGGTATATGTTACACAGATATAGATACTAATCCAGCTACAAATACATGCATACATACAGTACAACCCAGATCATTCATATCTGGCTGGTTCATAATCTGTTTAGTTTGTAGTGCATTGTTGAATTAAAAATGGGCTGCTCAGCTGTTTGCTGTGGCTTTTACTTCAAAGGGTGACACTTCTTTGATCAGGTATCTTGCACAGCTGGTTGGGAGCACCCTTTGAAAAAAAAGTTGCAGTAAATGACTGAAATGCTTATGGGGTCCTGCCCAGCAGTTTGTTGCAGAGATATATATATATATATATATACACACACACACACACACACACACCCCTGGCTAGTTGGTAACCCATTACCTTTGCAGGGAGTTAAGGAACCAAGCCCTGTGAAATAACTGAGACTAGCATTGATTCTTGTTTTGATATCTGAGAGTTTTGTTAACTTTTAACTTTGTTTAATTTCTTTTGCAATGGCCTCTACATGTTTTCAGTCTTGAAGTAAGGTGCTGCATGCTCCATGCTTACAAATCCTTCTTAAAAGCCAGGCACATTATGGGAGAGGCACACAAATTTTATTTTGTCTCATGCAGTGTTTTGGAACCAGAGCTTATCTAGCTGGTAGGTGCTGCAGTAAGCAGTGTTAGAGTATCTGGCCACTAGATGGGAGGAGGAGCAGGTAATGCAAGAGATAGTTATCTCAGTATATGTATTTGCTGCTGTTTTTGCCTGGGATAACTGCACTGGATTCTAGTAAGTTACAGAGTTTGTGGGACTGACCGTATGTTATGTCTGCTTCTCATGGGTTGAGGCCCACAAACAAGTTTTCCTCTCTGGTGTGGTTCTGGTTCTTTCACTGTTACATGGAGGAAAAAGCAAGCTATCATCCTTGGCCTAGAATTTCTACAACATGATCTTTTTATGGGATTGTCAAATGTCAACTGCTACATTTAGGTAGTAATGGTACATATATAGCAGCCTTTTTTATCCAATAAAAGAGTGTATCACCACACCCAGATATCAAGAAATTCTTTGAGGTAGCTGCCATGTCAAATACCATGTAATGCTCAGTTGTGAGATCTAAAGCTGGTCTTAAATGCACTCACAGACCCACCATTTGAATTCATAAGGAGCTATCTTTATTTTTTCTTGTCATCAAAGTGGTGTTCTACATGACAATTAGATTAGTGAAGAAAAATATTGAACTTAGATGCTTTGTGTACCATGTGTCATTCCCACAGAGTAGTTGACAGATTTTTGCTTCACGCTATACACAGACTCCATGTTTTACAAAATACAAGGCATATTATTACCAGCTTTCTTTCTAAGGCTGGCTCATCCTTTGGCAAAAAGGTGACATTCCTAGGTCAATTAATTAATATCCAATGAACAAGAAGTTTGGGACAGTGAATGCATTGTTTAGTATTACTAGAAAAAGAAAATGTCAAAAATTCTACAAAAAGCTGGACTAGGTATACCATGTTGTAAATGTATAGAATTAAAAAGGCTGCCACCTTGGGCTCCAAACTCCTCCCCACACACCTATCACCCCCCCCGCCCTGCCAACCATATAAAGTACCTGCATAATTTTGCATAGTTCTTGAGTTTCTAGCTGTGTGATTAAAATAGTGATTAATTGCAACTAATTTTTTAGATGCGCAACTCATCACGGTCAAATTTTTTAGTAGTTTGACATCCCTAGAAAAATATTAATTGTTTACTCAAAATATTCCATTTTTTAATGGTGATAGCCACATATCCATCCCACCCTCAACAGCAGTTACTGTTACATGATCAAATGTGTGTGGTGTAGGTGTGTGGGTGGATTGTGGGAGGACTGAGAGGAGGGGCTGCTCAGGAGGAGTGGGTTCCCTGACCCCTGCAGGGCGCAGCCCCCCTGCACAGCCCATAGATTGCCCCCCCCACAGGGGCTGCAGCACCCCAACAGCAGCCACATGGCCCCCATGGGGGCTACTTCCCCTGCAGGGCCCGCGTGCCCCACTCCCACTTGCTCCCTCAGCCCCTGCAACAGCTGCCTCACCTGGCCCCATCCCTGGTTGCACCCCCAGGCCCCTGATGGCTGTGCTGCCCAGCCCCATCCCGTAGTTGCACCCACAGACCCCCCCAATGGCTGCCTTACCCAGTCCCATCCCCTACTTACACCTCCAGACCCCCAATGGCTGCCCGCCTGGTCCCACTCTCCCGGTACTTTAAAAAAAAAAAAAAAAAAGGCCCACACTCACTGGCAGTAGCAGCAATTGTAGAGGTCATTAGGGCCTCCAGGCAGAGCTCCCCCACACAGCAGGGGGCCGCAGGGAGCAGCCCTGGCCACCTCACACCCACATTGCCACTGCCCCACCATGTGGGTGCGGCCCTGGTCAGCAGGGCACCGTGCATCTCTGCATGCTGTTGGGCAGCTGGGGCTGCTGCAACTGTCATCTGGGGCCTGGCACCGCTCAGCCTGAGTGGCCCCAGCTGCCTGGCAGCATGCAGAGCCCTGCTGGCCCTGGCCACACCTGCATGATGGGGCAATGGCAGTGCGGGTGCCAGGTGGCCGGGGCCGGTCTCTGTTGCCCCCTGCTGCCCCATGCTGTGCAGGGGGGTGCCCCATGCTGTGCAGGGGGGCTCTGCCAGGAGGCCCCAGTGACCCCAACGGCAGCTGCTACTGCAGGTGAGTGCGGGGCTTTTTTTTTGTAATTGCTGGGATGCTGGGGCTGGGCAGAGCAGTAATCGGGAGGGGTTCAGGGGTGCAGGCAGGGGATGGGGCAAGGTGGGGCAGCGATCCAATGGGTTCAGAGAGTGGGAGGGGGATGGGGCAGGGGGG